AACCATGCCACTCCATTTCCAACTTTACTCCCTTTTTTCTGTTCTCTTTTTATGGTTTGTCGAAACCAAAAGGAAAGACCATCTCTTACGATTGCTTTGGTGTAATTTTTTTAAATTCTTCTTATTATTACATATTACGTATTGATTAAGAGGAATTCGATCTCTTGAATTTCAAAATACCACATAAATAACTGCAGCCAGTGGGTCAAATAGGTCGGGATTTTAATAATATATTATTTAAATTTTAGTTTTATAATTTTTTATTTATTTAAAAATTATAATTGAATTCATAAATTTTTATATTTGACATTTATAAATAAATTATAAATTACAATAATTATTAATAGGAATTAGAAATGTCAATAAATAAAGGAATAATAAATGATACTTTATGTGAAATGCTTCGAACCCGGCGTCATCTGTCATTATATATTGCTCAAATCTTAATGTAATCTCACTATTTTGAATATGGGTCAAATAGGCCCTTCAACTATACTCAAATGTGCAATTAAACCCATTCAACTTCAAAAAGTTCCAATTAAAACTTTAAACTTACAAAAAAATGCAATTACACTATTTTGAAGGTTACCTTTAAGTAACATGTAAATTATTTATTGATTAAATTTTTTAAGTTTATTTGACAGGCCGGCGTGGCAGTCACATATTTTTAAAATTGATATATTATATTAAATTTTTTAAGTAATTAAATAATAATTGATTGAAAAATAGATTACAATTTCGGCAATATTACAATAAATTTATTGAGATTGATTCAATAAAAATTTAAAGTAGTAAAAATTCGGAAATATTACAATTTCGACAATATTTCAATATGTAATGGGAATCTTTCTGTATCGGGGTTTTAAAAAAAATTATTCATTTATTATGAATATGAAGTTGGGTGTTTTATGAAAGAAAAAAAAAAATAGGTTATTTTATAAGAATTTAGTTTTTGGATTAAGAAAAAAAGTTTGTGCATGAAATACATAGAGGGAACCTAGCAAGTGCGTGCGTCGTACGTTCAGTGCTCGCAAGGTGTTTAGCATGGCCATTAGCTTGCCAACCATGTCACTTCATTCCCTATTTTCCACCCTTTTTTCTGCTCCCTTTTTATGATTTCTCGAAACCAAAAGGAAAGACAATCTCTTACGATTGTCTTGGTGTAATTTTTTTTTTTTTAATTTCACTTATTATTAAATATTACGTATAGATTATGAGGAATTCGATCTCTTCGGTTTCGGAATACCACCTAAATAACTGCAGCCAGAGGGTCAAATAGGTCGGGATTTTAATAATATATTATTTAAATTATAGTTTTATAATTTTTAATTTAATTAAAAATTATAATTGAATTCATAAATTTTTATATTTGACGTTTATAAATTATAATAATTATTAATAGAAATTAGAAATGTCAATAAATAAAAGAATAATAAATGATACTTGATGTGAAATGCATCGAAAGCAGCGTCATCCGTCATTAAACTTAATTCGTTATATATTGCTCAAATCTTAATGTAATTTCACTATTTGGAGTAAGGGTCAAATAGGCCCTTCAACTATACTCAAATGTTCAATTAAGCCCCTTCAACTTCAAAAAGTTCCAATTAAAACTTTAAACTTACAAAAAAAAAAAAAAAAAAGTGCAATTACACTATTTTGTAGGTTACCTTCAAGTAACATGTAAATTATTTATTGATTAAATTTTTTAAGTTTATTTGGCAGGCTGACGTGGCAGTCACATATTTTTAAAATTGATATATTATATTAAATTTTTTAAGTAATTAAATAATAATTGGTTGAAAAATAGATTACAATTTCGGCAATATTACTATAAATTTATTGAGATTGATTCAATACAAATTTAAAGTAGTAAAAATTCGGTAATATTACAATTTCGACAATATTACATTATGAAATGAGTATCTTTCCTTTTCGGGGTTTTTAAAAAAATTATTATTTTTATTATGAATATGAAGTTGGGTGTTTTATGAAAGAAAAAAAAATAGGTTATTTTATAAGAATTGAGTTTTTGGATTAAGAAAATATTTTTGTTCATGTAATACATAGAGGGAACCAAGTATGTGCGTGCGTCATACGTGCAGTGCTCGCTAGGTGTTTAGCGTGGCGATTAGCTTGCCAATCATGCCACTCCATTTCCCATTTTCCTTCCTTTTTTTCTAGTCTCTTTTTTATGATTTGTCGAAACCAAAAGGAAAGACCATCTCTTACGATGGCTTTGGTGTAATTTTTTTTTAAATATTCAAATTTGATTTACCCAGGCAAATTGTTGTAATCAAATTCTCAAATTAAATATTCAAATTTGATTTACCCGGGCAAATTGTTGTAATCAAATTCTCAAATTAAATATTCAAATTTGATTTACCCAGAAAAATTATTGTAATCAAATTCTCAAATTAAATATTTAAATTACTTCCATTACGTTGACAAATTAATGAAATTATGTTGAGGTATCTCGTCTGTCACTATGACAGTACAATGTCTCCTGCAATGCCTCTAGATAACCTAGATTAGCGATTTAGGTTTCTTCTTGCCTTTGTTCGAAAGCCGCAGCCACCGCTAATAACCTAATATATATATACTATTTTTTTTTCCTTAAATATGGGGCCCCCAAAATGTGGGGGCCCTGTGCGCCAACCCTAGGCAGACTTGCCCAGGGACGGCCCTGAAACAATATATAATGAATTAAGTTTAATGATGGATGACATCGCATTCGATGCATTTCACATTAACTATCATTTATTATTCTTCTATTTATTATCTTTTCTAATTTCTATTTATAATTATTATAATTTATAATTTATTTATAAACGTCAAATATGAAAATGTATGAATTCAATTATAATTTTTAATTAAATTAAAAATATAAGAATATAATTTAAATAATATATTATTAAAATTTAATCTATACTTAATATTTAATAATAATTAAAATTAAATTTACACCAAAGCAATCGTAAGAGAAGATCTTTCCTTTTGGTTTCGAGAAATCATAAAATGGGAACCGAAAAGAGGGAGGGAAATGGGGAAGGGAGTAGCATGGTTGGCAAGATAATGACTACACTAAACACCTAGCGAGCACTGCACGTACGACACACGCACTTGCTAGGTTCCCTCTATGTATTTCATGCACAAAGTTTTTTTTTTTTCTTAATCCAAAAACTCAATTCTTATAAAAAACCCAACTTCATATTGATAATAAAAAAGAATTTTTTTTTTTTAAACCCCTCAATGGGATGTTTTTGTAAGCAAATAAAACTCTCAATAAAAGATTTAAGTGACAAACTGCTTTACAATTGTTTTCCACTTATACGTTTAAAGGTGTCCACAATTTTGGACTTTCAATGTAGCTATCTGTCACTTGTATATTTCACTGTCCTCTAGGTTTAGCGTATTGTACTTGTACGCAGTTCTACTCCCACTTGTGTTACAATATAATTTTTGTTTGTATAACTTGGGGGTGTGATTGAGTGGGAGAGACTCATCTATCGTTAACCTAAGGTCAAGTGTTTGATCCTTATCTTTAAGTACGGAGAAACGTCTTGGGTACACCTTATTCACATAAAGATCGAAATAAATAAGGTGTACTTTTTTATTTTATTTTAATTTTTTTAATTCATAATTCTTTATTTTAATTTTTTTTAAAAGACTTAAATTTAATACTTTACCTCAATTATATTCAAACTTTTGAAATTTAGCAATATAAAGTATAACCTAAACCTTTATATTTTATAACAATTATATCCCACCCGCATCAAAATTATATCCAAAGTTTTAATGTTTGACCATTTAATTCCAAAAATCTTTGAACTTTTAACACTTATATTCTATTATTACTAGCCAAGCATCTTGTACTCCATGTAGTAACTTCTTTCATGTGGAAGGTCATAAGATCAAGTCTTAGTGAAGGCGGAGGAGTTGTTGACTTCAAAAACATCTAACATACTCTGGCTTTGTTAAATTAATTAAATACTAATTATCTTAAAATCAATTTATTTTTACAAAGATAATGTATCAACATGTCTACTTTATTTAAATAATTTAAAATAAAACTCCCAAAAAACATCTTATATATTCAATTTTGAATATTATAGTTACCCATTAATACATAAATAAAAAATTGAATTATTTTTAGTGTTAATAAATATATTTAGAATTAGCTACAAGGGAGCAATTTTTATATTGAACTACAAACAAAATTTAAAACATTTAGACATATTTATTGAACAAGTATTTTTTATACGCAATGCATAAAAATAGATTTTCAATATTAGTAATCTATATTAAAATCTTAGATAGATTATAGATATTTATATTATTGTAAAATAATAATAATCTAATTCATTTATATAAATTTGATATTTATATTTTGGAAAATAACTTATATAGTAGTATAGTACTCCAATATATAATGTTCATTTATATAAATTTGATATTTATATTTTGGAAAATAACTTATATAGTAGTATAGTACTCCAATATATAATGTATGTTTATATATTATTATTATTATTATTGAAGAAAATAAGAAAATATAAGATGGATGCATATGCATGGTAAGAATAATTAAAAAAATGACAAAAGTTATCATTGATAAGTGTATTTTTGACGTGCTTTTTATCAAAATTTTATATAGTACAACTCTTATAGCAAATGTATTAAAAAAAAAGGAAAAAAATAGACACTAATAAATAGTATAACGCACATTTACATTAGTTTTTAGATTACAGTGAGATTACATTAATATTTGAGCATGACGTCACGTTCGAAACGGAAAGGTTCCCACCAAACAAGTATGACGTCATCGCACCGCTGCATGCAGCGTTCACACACGGTTGAACCTGGGGTCAACGCGTGTCCATTTATGGGCGCTGTTTGTGGGCCCGGTTACCGGCTGTCCCCGGTCACTCAGTCAGTCTTTCCCCCGCGAACCCGAAATAAAAACGTTCGGTACTTACTATACGGTGCCTTGGAAAACATCACTTCCAAGTCTTCGACTGCGCTAAGCAATTCCTTCCATCTCAGCAATGGCGACTCCGTAAACTCTTCTCAAAAGCTTCAGTCTTTAGGGTTTGGGTTTCTCCCTTTTTGCCTCACATGCATTCTTCTCTCTGTGTTTTTCCCTTTCTGTCTTGTGCATTGGTCGGAGATTCACGAAATCCGCTGTATGTTTCTCCGACCAGATTAAACGTCCGCCGGCCTGCCGGCCGGTTTCGATCAGACTTTGATCAGTCCCTCGGCGGGGAACAAAAAAGAAGATTTTTTTTTTTTTTTTTTCCAGTTTCGGGATTTGTTGTGTGGGTGGGAAAATCTAGCTAGATTGTGTGATATGATGATCATCATCAAGTTGGCAAATTTTCTTGTTTTCAACAGTGAAAAAGTAGTAATTTGATCGAGGTTTTGTTTCTAACTCGTGTTTCTTCTCTTTGAGGAGTGGCGAATCATTTGTTCGGATTCGACATTTCATTGAAATTAATCAAATGGGAATGTTAGTTGCCGACGATCATATATATATATAGTTTTTTTCTTTTTGCTTCTTTGATTAATTTTGCTGTGAGTTTCTGTAAAATCATGATTCTCAAACTGTTGCTTGAATTGAGTGACATTTCATGGAGTAATTCTTTTCTTTAGCTATCATCTATATATATATACATGCATACACACACAATGAATTCTGCAACGTCGTGACATCGTACGGTGTGATATGAAAATGAAAATGAAAATGTCCTTTTTTATCCCTTGTTTCTATTTTTACCCATTTCTTTTTTCCAAACTTTACTAACCTTTTTCTTTTGTTTCTATTTTTAGACTATAATAATGTCATGCCTATGGCATTCTAGACTGCTTTCTTTCTTGTTAGCTTTAAAGCTGAAAAATTAATCTGTTTGCGTATGCTAGTGTCTAGTCTAGGTTACATTTCCATATAGTTTCTTGGGTTCCTTCTTGGTATAAACTGAAGACACTTTTTTTTTTTACTATTTAATTTGCAGGGATTTTGATTTGTATGAAAGTTAGTGAGAAATAATGGATATGGGAGGAAGCTCAGGTTCATATGGATATGGAGATTTTCTTGAGTCTTGGGTGTCAGACAACTCCTCGAGAAACCAGCTGGAGCCTTTAAGTTATTCATTTGGAAGCTTATTATCATCAACTTCTACAGACATGTCGCAGGTGAATAATGCGCAGTTGGATTATAATGAAGTGATGAACACAACAGTTGTGAATAGATCATTGGATTCATTGGTGGTTCCGAGTTTTGGTGCAAATTATGGTGTCAATGATGCCAACTTGCTGCTGCCAACCACTGCATTCTTTCACATTCCCGGCATTCATTATAGTGACCCCGTGTTTCTCTCGACAGCAATGTCGTTTGCACCGAATAACAATGGTTTTGTTGGTAATAGTTATTATCCCGTTGGTTTAGTTAATTCTGGAATGGGGGATAGTTATCCCGCGGGGCTGAACAAGCTTTCGTGCCATTCCAGTAAGAGGGAACAATCAGGATCAATGGTGAGCTCTGGTGGAGCAGAATCTGCAGGGTTTGATGTTTACCAAACGGGGATTGGAATTGAGACCGAGGCTCAGTTATCGAAAAAGCCCAGACTGGATCAGGATGCTACCAAGGATGTGTTGCTGCACCCCGAGATAATATTCGAGAAGAGCCTCGTGCAATTGCAGGAAAAGAATTCGGTCCTGCAGGCACTGCTGGAGCAGCAGAGACAGCAGAACGAGCTGCACAAACAGCTTTCTCTTTTGGGCACCGAGGACCAACTTCTACAGCAATGGGAGCTTATGCAAAATCAGGCCCAACTCTCGTCTCTGCCTTGCCTTGATGCCAGTATCTGTAACCGACGCCTAACTCAGTACTTATATCATACGAGGAGTCGCCCAATTGTTAGTTTTTTAAACCGAAAATCAAATTTTTTTTATCTCATATATACTTCAATAATAAGCATTGTGGAACATCAAACTCGGGATTGTTTTTCTGCAGAATAGTGACATGACTTACTGGAAGAAGTTCGTTTCTGAATATTACGCTCCTTGTGCTAAGCAGAGGTTGTGTTTTTCTACATGCGTCAACGTTAGCCAACAAGCTCTAAATCTTTTCACCGATACAGCCTTGGTTAGTCCATACAGACTAACAATTTCGTTCGATGCAAATATGGCTCGTAACTCTGATCGATACTAACCTTTTGTTCTCAATTAATAAGCAGGAATCTTGGTGCTGTAGTATTTGTGCTTCAAAATCATCCAAAGGATTCGGTAATTAAGCATTGTGTGATCTAAATTCATTAGTTTTCGGTATCAAAGTAAACTGCTTTTCGAGTATTCTTGTGTGTCATATATTGATGTTAATCTAACGGGTCCATGTTCCTTCTACCTTTGCAGAAGTAATATATGAAACTCTCCCGAGGCTTTTCAAAACCAAATATGAGAGCACCATGCTGGACGAGATCTTATTCCTGGGATTGCCTCGAGAGCATAGATTTCCTTCTGGGCTAATAATGTTGGAGTATGACAAAGTGGTTCAGGAGAGTATCTATGAAGATTTTCGCATTGTTCATGAAGGTATACTTCGTGTAATCTTCAGACCCGACTTGAAGGTGAGCTCAGAATTGCATCAAGAACATAACTTTTTTTAGTTGCGTCGTGTGTATGTATCTGTCATTGTCTATCCCGTCGTGTTCTTATTTTCCTCTACATTCTCAGATATTTTCTTGGGAATTCTGTGTACAACGCCATGAAGAGCTTTTGAAGTATCGATCCGTTGCTAGACAGGTACCATATCCGATCCCGGGGGGCATTTGATAGAAACGATGAACTTGTATGCGCAATACATGACTTGATCTGCATTAATTCCACACACTAAAACTAGATAAATTGTTCAAATTCATAGAAAAGAACATATATATTGCCTTCTGGAATCAATAATTTCAATACATGAACCGAACGCATTTCTAGAACGGAAGCAGGTTGTTTCACTACTTGAAGAAAGTTTCGTAAGCATTATAGTTTTGATCGTTTTAATGGACATACATATATAGGATCTATCTGCCAAGTCTTTTCCAATGTGCAGGTTGACCACTTTGTCGAGGCGGCTCAAAAATACAGAAGTACTATCACTAACTTAGCCGGGACTTCTTTAAAGGACATGCAATCATGTTGCAATATGTGAGTCAGGACAGTGATTAGTGAACTCTTGTAGATATGGAAAAAACGATTCACTCTCGTCTTTTGTCAATGTGAATGCATAGGTTTCTAACAGCAGAGCTCGAGCTTGCAAGGAATGTGGAGCTGCCATTGGTTAACGCCTTAGGATTCTCCAAGAAACATTTTAGGTGTTTACAGGTATTTAAGATTCATTCGTTTCGAATCAAACCCATTGTTTGTGCGAGAACTAGAACTAGTAACCGATAATTATCGTTTTGTTCGGGGATCAACAGATAGCTGAAATCGTGGGTAGCATGACAGATTTAATCACTATCAGCCATGAGCTTGGTGTTGGACCAATTGGTATATATATGGAGACGCAATCTCGAAAGCTTCTTTTGTTTTCCCATATACATTGTGTTTTGCTGATATTGTTTATGCAATACAAACTTTTCGTAGAGAGCTTAAAGAACTATCGTCGGTTGAAGGAAGTGAAAGAGCAAAGGACGAATCACAGTGTTACCAGCACCGATGATGGCGGGCTGGCAGCTGATAACAGTTACTCTCGACTGCTCAGGCAAGGCGCTCGTAGTTCAGTTGCAAGGACACAAGTGCTGCAACCGTCATACTCTACAGCTAACTCCAGCCAGCTCGAGGTCAGCTCTGAATCCTTGAATCTCCATCTATATAGACATTCTATAACTCCCATTTCACGTTTCCCTCAGCTCCTTGTGGCTATATACTATAACTTCCATTTCGTGTTTTCCCTTCTTGAAGCTATAGACATTCTATTACTCTCTCTGTCCCATTCTGTGTCTAGTTCGGTTAACAAGGTCCGATTGAAGTAAACAAGACATGTAAAATGGGATAGAGAGAGTAATTCCCTATAGACATTCTATAACTTCCATTTCGAGTTTTTACTCTCTCTGTTTCATTTTGTGTCTGATTTAGTTAACAAGGCTCGGCTGAAGTAAACAGGATATGGAAAATGGACAGAAAGAGTAATTCGCTATAGACATTCTATAACTTCCATTTCGAGTTTTTACTCTCCCTGTCTCATTTTGTGTCTAATTTAGTTAACGAGGTACGACTGAAATAAACAGGACATGTAAAATGGACAGAAAGAGTAATTCGTAATTCGCTATAGACATTCTATAACTTCCATTTCGAGTTTTTACTCCCTCCGTCTCCTTTTGTGTCAGGACATGTAAAATGGACAGAGAGTAATTCGCTATAGACATTCTATAACTTCCATTTCGAGTTTTTACTCTTTCTGTCTCATTTTGTGTCTGAGTTAATTAACGAGGCTCGATTGAAGTAAACAGGACATGTAAAATGGACAGAAAGAGTAATTCGCTATAGACATTCTATAACTTCCATTTCGAGTTTTTACTCTCTATCTCCTTTTGTGTCTGATTTAGTTAACGAGACTCGGCTGAAGTAAACAGGACATGTAAAATGGACAGAGAGAGTAATTCGCTATAGACATTCTATAACTTCCATTTCGAGTTTTTACTCTTTCTGTCTCATTTTGTGTCTGATTTAGTTAACGAGGCACGACTGAAGTAAACAGGACATGTAAAATGGACAGAAAGAGTAATTCACTATAGACATTCTATAACTTCCATTTCGAGTTTTTACTCCCTCTGTCTCCTTTTGTGATACTCCCTCTGTCTCTTTTTGTGTCTGATTTTGTTAACGAAACACGTGAAGTAAACAAGACATGTAAAATGGATAGAGAGAGTAATTCACTATAGACATTCTATAACTTCCATTTCGAGTTTTCCCTTCTTGCAGCTATAGACACTGCGCTATAGACATTCTATAACTTCCATTTCGTGTTTCGCCTATAGACATTGTATAACTTCCATTTCGCGTTTTCCCTTCTTGCAGGTCACCGCCAATGAGCGCATGAAGTCGATAGAACACACAGTTGATAAGCTGCTTTCAGCAAAGGAAGCTACCCTTAGAGCAAACAGTTTGGGAAATGCCATCAGCGAAGTCGGTGGAACAGCAATCAGTGGCGCCTGGCCTCAGATAAGCGACACCATCACACTAGCTGACGCTATGAATTTCGGTGAGAATGCAGCCGCGCTGGCCGTCGCGCAAGCAAACCTAAACCTAATGGCCAACGCGCAACCAAGTGGCCCCGAAATGTGCAAGGCTGCCTTCAACAGCTCTTCGTCGAAAGTAAAGATGTCTGTCAAGGTCGAGCCAAGGTTTCAGGAGCAGGTTTGAAGGACAACCGGGGTTACTCTAAATGCTCATCATATCATTTCTATTGCCAGAATGACAGAGACAACATTACCTAGTACTGTTTTTATGTCACCTAAAGCTAAATGTTCTTCATAGTTTTCATCAAAGGTATGTCAGATTCAGAAACAACTATTTTGAGAATCAAAACTAGCGAACAGTGAGGTAATCCAACTAAGTTGGTCATGCTGTTAACTTATAATTACAATGTTACAAGTTTCAACTCCTGTGACCTATTTTGATTTGAACTGGTCAGCTATGAACAATTAAATTGATTACCCATTGATTTACCCTTTTGTAGCTCTTTACTGGTTGGGGTCACAACTTATAATTACAATATTACGAGTTCCAACAAGTTTCAACTCATGTGACCTATTTTGATTTGAACTGGTTAGTTATGAACAACTAAATTGATTTATCTTTTTGTAGCTCTTTACTGGTTGGGGTCAACTTATAATTACAATATTACGAGCTCCAACTCTTTTGACCTATTAACCCTTTTGGTTTGAACTGGTAAACTATGAAAATTTAGATTGATTTACCCTTTTGTAACACAAGTTTGGAGTTACTAGATGCACACATTTGAATAGTGATTACAAATTTTTCTCTATCACAAATAAATAGAAAACAACAGAACAACCTAGTCAAGTTGATAATTACAATGTTACAAGTTCTGACTCTGACACTATTAATTTTTTAGTTTGAACCAGCCAACTATAACAACTAAGCTGATTTACCCCTTGTGATCCTTTGTGATTCTAATAGAATCACAAGATATAATTACCCTGATTTACCTTTGTGATCCTTTGTGATTCTAGTAGAATCACTTACTAGAATCACAAGACAGAATTACCCAATGTAGTGATTAAGAATTTTTCTTAGAGAATACACAGATTATAGAAAATTGAACCAAAAAGCCGAGAAATCCCAGAAAATACACAGGTTTAGGCCATGGCACACATAAAAGAAGATGCTAACCTCAAAATTTACAAATGCTTTAACCTGGGTTTATACTCGGCAGGGCAAACAAGAAGGGAGTCTACACAAAGGCCGCCTTTCGTGTGAGTGCAATCAATCTGAGTCATGGAAATTTTCAGTTTCATCGTTTTCCCAGAATCCGACACCACAAAATCTCCGGCGTGGTGGTAAACCCATTTCCCGGGTTCACTCAGGTAACACTCCGTCGTCGTCGCTTGCTGGCCGTCCGACGTCGAAAGCTGAAACCTCACCGGCTTTTTGTCCCACCCATGAACGTGCTCCGAGTTGCAAACTCGACCGTAAAATCTCTTGGAGGCACGACCCAAGTGCAGTCTGAAGAAGACGGCGTAAGATCCCGCCGGAAATGGGAACTCCACCTCCCCGGCGACTTCAAACCACCAGATTTGCTGGAGATATGCCATCGAGTGGAATCTGCAAGAGGAAAACCAAAACCAAATTCTCTCTTAGATATGAACAATAATGATTCTCATTTTGGGTTTAAACTTTGTGAATACTGAATAATAGAACTTAAACGAGTTAATGCCTGATTTAGGGTCAATTTTAACTTGTTTGATCACTATTAATTATATTGTTCACCAGGAATCTGTCCACTTCACACATAATTTTCACACTGTCGCAGCGAGGTTCGAACCTTGGTCTCTTCTCTCAAATACTGCTCACTAAACCATTGAGCTAAACCCGTGCGGGTTTGAAGTGATTTTTCTGAATTTAATCCTGAACGACATTTTGTGTTTAATTAAGTCTTCAATGGTTTTATAAAATTAAGTCTTCTGACGGTTAAAATCAAAGATTAAATCGAAAAAACCCAATATATTTGATGACTAAATTAAAGAGTTAATACCATATGAGGTCTTCTGAGTATAGTGATTTTGCCACGTTTAGTTATAAACTTTCAAATTGACCATATGTGGTCCTTCGACTTTCAAATTTAACCATTCGGGGTCCAAGTTAACCACCCATGGTCTTTAACTATTAAATTTTAACCAACCATGATCTTTTCAAGAGGACCGTGGTTGGTTAAATTTCGAAAGTTGAAGCACCATGAGTGGTTAACTTGGACCACGAGTGGTTAAATTTAAAAATCGAAAGACCACAGATGATCAATTTGAAAGTTTAGGACTAAACGTGACAAAACCATTATATTCGAAGGACTTCATGTGACATTAACTCCTAAATTAAATAAAACCATTATACTTGAAAATTAATTTGGATAAAATACTATAGTCGAAGATAAAATGTAAAATGAAATATTAGTAGAGGTGAAATTATCAAGTTATCTTTAACTTACGACTTAATTAGGAAAAACCATTAAAAACAAGGACTTAATTGAATACACAAAAAATTATTTTAAAACTAAATCCAGAAAAACCATTCTAAATTGGTTATTGACTCATAACAAATACGAAGTTTGGGGGGATTTGAACTTTGGGAATTTTAGTAAACAAAAACACAGAGATGGAGAAACAACTGAAGTTTTAGAATTGAGGTTTAGTAAATTGCAGAAAAACATGATATAACGAAAGAGCATTAGAGGACGGCGAGTGAGGAAACAAAGAACCTTGAGCCTGGCATTGGAGGATTTGATCCAAAAAGGGGCGTGACGAGTTGGATTTGATCAAGCGGATCTAGAAACACATGTATCAATATATAAACAGAGAGATATCTCTATCTATGTGTATATATATATATATATATATATATATATATATATATATATATATATATATATATATATATATATATATATATATATATCCACGCCAATTTAATCGAGAAACAACGTAAGAACGACAAGAAGAAGAAGAAGATGCATATAAGTCCTGACCTCGACTCATCTGTCGGGATTCTGCTCCAGTATCTCCGATCATCTATGCCGGTAATCGCTAGCCCATTCGACGCAATCGACAGACAAACTCTCCCTGTGCTCTTATCCAACCACACCACCTGCACACACCCCACTATCAATCAACTTCTTCTTCATCATCATCATCAACCAATGGGGGAAAAAGAAGCAATCAAACTCCAAATTTTAGTTTTTTTAGTCACAAGGAAAACCCACAGCAACTAGTAAACTTGCCCTGATCCTAACCGACAAAAACTATTAAAAAAATGATAAATCAGTTTTAATTGCACTACTCAAATCAAGAAAGTTAATAATTTGACTCCCCAATAGATTGCTCTAGATAGCTGGAGTATTAGGAGGGTAAACTCTATTTTGTGACTCTACCCAGTAAACAACTACTTTCTAAGAAAGTGGTAAACCAATTTGGATGGTTCATAACTGACCAAATCAAGAAAGTCAGTTTGACTCCCCAATAAGTTGCTCCAGCTAAAGTACTCCGAGGTGAAACTCGGCTTTTGTGATCCTAATCCGGAAAAAATTATTAAGAAAGTGGTAAATCAATTTCAATCGTCTATGATTGATCCAAACCAAGAAAGCAAATAATTTGACTCTCAGTAAGTTGCTCTAACTAGAGTAGAGCGAGATTAAACTCCGTTTTGTAACTCTAATCAGTAAAGAACTACGAAAAAAATGATAAACCAATTTCAATTGGTCATAAGTGACTCAAACTAAGAAAGCTAACAATTTTTTTTATCAAACTAAGAAAGCTAACAATTTTTTTATTTCTCAATAGGTCGATCCCGCTGGAGTCAAATTTGTATGCATAAAGGGGAAGAAGAGACTAGACCTTAGTGCCACCATCAATGGAATTGGGGGTGCAAAGCCTAGCAAAAATGTCCCTTTTACACAAATTTCCGGGGAAGTTTTCATCTCGGAAAACTCTCCGAACAAGACCCCAATAATCCACCGGCAGCTTGGATTCCCACACGAAATCCGCAAACGAGGCGCCCCTGAAGGCGCGATTGAGCATTGCGAGGCGGCAGATCTGCTTGGGGTCCAGGTGCGCCAGCACCAACGCCACACAGCTCTCCGGCAAGTCCCCGAGGCCGGGGCTCGCCGCCACAGGCTCCGGGCACGCGCCGCCGTCTTGCTGAACCAGGAACGACAAAGAAGAACCCATATTCGATCTCCTCCTCTCGTCGATCTCGTGACGGGAATGAAGAAAAGATTGAACCTTTGCGATGCTACTTTTGAAGGGAAGACGACGATATTTTCTTCTTTTTCTTCAGAGGAACAGACAGAAATGGTGAAAAGTTGGAGAGTATATACGTACATATATATACACGTACTACGTATGTGTGTTAGCGGTGGAGGTGTCGGTTGCGTCATCTTGTTTGACGGTCTCCATGTTCGGGAAAATGAAGGGTGCTGACGTGCTGTTTGGGGCCCACTCCTCACTGTGTGTGTAACTTCAAATCACACGTTGCATGTAATATAAGCTGCGATTATCATAAATATATACTTCAAGAATATTCAAATCTTAGGTATGAATATTTCTTCCATATGCTACATTCTTCTAATTTTAAACTTATCTTCTAATATTGAATCTTATCCCAAGCTAGTTGTTTAAAGGTTGACGAGTAGTCAGTGGATCTAGAAATTTTGTTCAGTGGGGGCGAAACATTAAAACAAAATGAATAACTTAAAAAGGATGAAACAGTTAAGAAGTTAGCCATAAATATTGTTAGATATAAGCGAAAAACAAACAAAATATTTATAACAAATATGAAACATAATTAATTTGATACAATAATTCTAATAGAAAACACATTATAAATTACACATCTTATTAGTAATAGAAAACACATTATAAATTACACATCCTATTATTAATATAAAAGTATATACATATAATTTGAAAGACTAACTGTGTTGAAGGACTTGAAGTAGCCACTATTATTCAAATAGACAAAAAATATGCATTTAAGCCTTAAGTGAGATTCAAATCGTTGACCTTTCTTAAAGAAACAGGCGTGCTCTACCATTTAAGTTGGCTTACAATTTGTTAACAATAGCTGTTTTCTTTTACTTATACTAAACCTTGTACTATATATACATACATATATATACATACAAGGGTTATATAAGGGGTCGGGGTGAGGGTGAGTCAATCGTTATGCTATGGACCCGTGTCCACAATGCACTGTGGACACGGATTGAAACGACGACATTTCATTGTAACGCATTAACGGTGCCGTAAGTGGCACCGTTATCTTCAGCCAATCATCTTTTTTTTTTTTTAATTTAAATTTAAATATCAGTACCCGACTCGTCACAATTAAGCCTCCATTTTCGCAAGTTTCCTGTCGATCAAGCTTCCATTTGTTCTTTGCAAAAACCTCTCTTCAACGCTCATTCTCC